TGAACACATGGGTTGTTCCTATCTTTTGCTGTAACAAAGAGTTGGGCAAATATAAATTTAAAATATATATATTTTTTTGTCAACATGTCCGTAAGACAGATTCCCAGAAGTGGGGCTGCTATGTCAAAGGTTAAATCTCAGCAGTAATGCATGAGTTGTGTTTACCACAGTGAGCTGTGCCAACTCACTGTGCTGATGGGAGCTCACACACGTGGAGTCTAATTGTCATAAATTCAAGGACAAAAAAGGTATCTTAGTATAAAAGATATCCTGAGGTCCTTTGAACCTGAAGTTGAGGAGGGTTTTCATACCAAGAATGAGCCATGATTTGTGGGAATGATTTTTATAGGAATCACAAATTGAATTTTGCAAGTTAATCATATGCTTTGAGATTATTTAGAACCATGTATTCAACCTGTTTCCTACTGTGCACTCAGCTTGTTTAAATTTAACTAGCCTTTAAGGAAAGTAAGATCTGATGTAATTCACCTTTACAGGCTAAGCTGAATGCATAGCTTTACTCTTACACCATGTTCCCTATTGTGACTTGTTATGCCCCTGACTCAGAACAATGTGTGTGCCCATGAATCCTTGCGATTAGGCAGAAGACCACTAGGCCACACTGAAAGCAAGGATAACATTGAAACAATGTACCCCACACTAGTGTCAAAAACAGCATGTGGACATAGGTTGATGATGTCTGTTTGTGTTTTTGTATGCTCTTCGGAGTCAATGGCCAGAAAATTAACCCCTTCCCTTGTAAACTCTGGTTAAAGATTCTTGGAGACAAAGTTCATCATTCCTTTCCCATACCCTGACTGGTGTGCTGTTCAATAAGTATAAGAGGCCAGGAGGCCAGGGCACTTCTGAGAGAAAGCAGAGCTCCTTAGAACAGATTGAGCTGCCTCTTGGTTAAGCAACCCAAAGAGGAAGAGTTTATGCAGCATGGCCACCGTGTTTTCTTCTTTAATCATTTCTTGATTCCCTCTCTACCTTTAAATGACCACCACAATGGGATAGAACTTCTGAACGCGAATGTTTATTAATACTTAATCCCACTGACAGTACTTTTTCCTTAACACATAACGAGTCTGCTCAGTGTAGCAAGCTAGAAGTGCTCTAGTAGGCTCTGAGGATAAGATCTCCCAGGACTGGAAACTCGAGGAGGTAGCCCCTTACTTAACCCCATCTGTCTGCCGTCTTGGTAGGCTCTCCGGGTCATGCCAGGGCCCAGTTGTTTTAGGAAGGAGATGATGTTTTTCACATACCTTCTTGCAACTTCAGCCACAGACTCCCCTAGTTGCCACTGAGAGAGGTAATAAATCGGGTGGGACTTAGCAAGCATCCTGCCCACAGTGAGGATAGTATGGTTCAGTGGGTAGAACTGGATCACTCAATGAGGCAACTGCTGTTGATCATAGCAGCTCAGTGAAGAACAGCACCTACTTCACCTTAGTCTAACATTTGTTTTTTCTCCAAAGACAGCTTGGTCTCAACTTGCCAATCCTGTGGCCCTGAAGACATCAATGCTTATTTAAAAGAAATATCTCATGGTTGGAGAGATGGCTTAGCGATTAAGAGCACTGGGTACTCTTGCAAAGGACCCAGGTTCAAATCTTAGCACCCACACGGTAGTTAACAACCATCCAGTTCCAGGGGATTCGATGCTCTCTTCTGACTGCCCTGGGCATTGCACAACATGAGTACACTTACATACATGCAGGCAATACACTCAAAAAATTAAAAATAATAAATAAAATATTAAAAAAGAAAAATCTCTTGGAAAATGAAGCATGGATCCTATAGGAGCCCATGATCTCTGGGAGACTAGTGTAGATGTGTGTGGGGTGCCCAGAAGCTGGTGGGTACACATACATGAGTTCCAAGGCCATGGCAGACCATGTCTTATGTCTCAATGGCTTATCCTGGAGTAGAAACTTTATGGAGTAGAACCCACCAAGCCAGACAGTGGGGCCTTTGAACAGTTATGGAAGCCCACAGGATGGCTGCCAGGTTCAGCTGAAAGACAGCATCTCCAACAACAGCACAGCTAGCAGGAAATGACAGAGTCAGCCTCTGAGTTTCTGTCTTAAGTCTGTAAGTGGCTGCTCTGTCCCGACAGACATGATAGGGAGCAACAGAAAGATTGTAGAAAGTGGTGATTCCAGCTGCATCACATCACTGTAGTGGTGCTGAAATGGCTGTTGGTCAAAAGCAATTACTAAATGGTTTTTTAAGTGAGATGTCAAGAATAATTAGTTTATGTTATGTCCTAGTTACTTTCTATTTTTATGATGAAACATTCTGACCAAAACAAATTTGGGAAGGCAGGGTTTATTTGACTTACACATCCTAATCACGGACAGGGCAGGGAGTCAGGGCAGGGGGTCAGGGCAGGAACCGGGAGGCAAAAGCTGAAGCAGAGAACAAGGAGCACTGCTTACTGGCTTATGTGGTTGACCTGTGTTCAGCTTGATTTCTTCTATAACCCAGAACCTGCCCAGGGGTGGCACCACCCACAGAGGGCGGAGGTGGGGCCCTCCCACATCACTCAACAATCAAGAAATGATCACAGACACGGCCACAGGCCAATTCGATAGAGGAATTTCCCCAGCTGACGGTCCCTCTTCCCAGGGGTATTAAGTTGACCACCAAAGCCACCATGGCATGCTAGGATTACTGGAAAGTGAAAAAGAATATATTATATCTGCAGACTGCTTGCTGCCAGCCAACCCTTCTTCCCCAAGACAGGCCCAAGAAAAGACTGAGGTAGGCGGGCAGCTGAGAAGCCAGGCAACTGGGTAGCCATGCCAGGTTAGTTTGAGATAAGAGATGTGGAAAGGCTTTTGCCCCTCATGGCTGCGTGCTTTGTTTACCATAGGCCCAGTGGTTGGGCGGTGGGAGTCAGTATTTTCCTGGGCTTTGTGTTCTTTTATCTTGTGTCTTGAGCGATCTTT